CATGAATAAATTGAGCTCTTATTTATTTACTCCACATTTTTGGTTTATAATTACATTATATATGCATGATATGCAAATAATTTATCAAACTCAAACCTTAGTTCAAACGGAAAGGCAATGTATATTACCTTTTCTTGTTTTAAGCATTCACTACAGTTCAAAAGTTTGGGGTTGATAATTTTTGTTTTGTTTTAAAGAAGTTTCTTATGCTCCACCAAGGCTGCATTTATTTGACCAAAAATACACTGAAACAATAATATTGTGAAATATTATACCAATTTATAACCGAGTTTCCATTTTAATATACTTTAAAATGTAATTTGTGCTTTAGAAATCCTTCTAATATGCTGTTTTGGTGCTCAAGAAACATTCCTTATTATTATCCAAAAATTTTTTTTTTTTTTAACAGTTGTGCTGCTTAATATTGTTATGGAAATTATGATGTAAAAACGCAAAAAAAAGTCTTTAATGTCACTTTTGATCTATTTAATGTGTCCTTCCTGAATAAAAGTATTAATTTCTTTAAAACAAAAACAAAATCTTGGAAATATTTGAAGGATAGGTTACATTTAATAAAAATGTAGGCTAGAGATGTTTATGCTTAAAACAAACAAACAAACAAAAAAAACTCCAAAGGTGTATTGGTCAATTTTGCTTCTCAAGCAAACATGTCTAGTTTTATAGATGTTTGAATATCTTTATTGGTAAACAAAAAGACACAAATACTTTTTTAAAATAGTTTTTGCAGTTTCTGACATAGTCCTATCCTTTAATACACACCTCTTCAGTGTTGTTTCTCTCCTATTTTGTCAACGAGCAAGCTGTTATCTGTGTGAAACTGATGAGTGCGACCTCGCGGTTCCAGACAGACACCCAGCCCGTCACTGGATTCATCTGCTCATGTCTTTTTTGCATAAATGCCTGCGGTCACGTAGGCTGTGTAACGGCATTCTGTGATGCCTAAAAGCTCACAGGAGTAGCGAAGGCTTCCCACCATCACTTCAGAAACCATAACACGGCTCCTAATTGCTTGATAATGTGGAATCAATCTATTATTAAAGCTTGAGTGAAGTGCACTCATTTAAATAAGGATGTTGTCACAGTAGGATGTGTGAGAGCATTCGAATGCTTGAATTGGTTTGAATTGATGTTTATCAACACTTTGCAAACAGTGCAGGACTGAATCACTGTGAGGACTAGCCTATAAAAATCTAAAATTTCCTCCACTGACATCAATACCACCGTAGTGTGCTAATGAAGTCTTGGCAAGTCAGTAAAGATTCGACCCTTCACTTTCATTTAAGTTGTCCAGTCCTAATGGCTCTTCAGGATCACACAGCACCAAAATAAAAACCTTTCGTGCTTGTTATGGTCATGAAACTGGTCATTATAGAGGATTTGTTGTTATGACATCAATAATGACAAAGTGCTCTGCATTATTGGTCAGGGTCTGAAAAATGAAATTACTTGACAATATAGCCTATGTTAAGCTTTCCAGAAGGGCGGAACCAGTAGGATTATAATAACTACCTGTTCTGTTCATAAACTCGCTCTTTAGAGAAAAATCACCCACACAAGAACCATCCTCACTTGCATCACTTATAATGCAATGCCTATTAGTAAAGAGAGAGAGAGAGAGAGAGAGAGATATAGAGAGAGAGAGAGAGAGAGAGAGAGAGAGAGAGAGAGAGAGAGAGAGAGAGAGAGAGAGAGAGAGAGAGAGAGAGAGAGAGAGAGAGAGAGAGAGAGAGAGAGAGAGAGAGAGAGAGAATGAATGAAAGTGAGAGAAAGAGATTCACCTCTGGCCTTGTTGTTGTTGTTTTTTTCACTCGCTTCTCTCAGCTTTTCCAATATCAGGCCTGCTTCAGCCATCTGAAAGAACAGGAAATGAAGGCACCCATATCACAGGCTAATAATACAAAACAGTGATAGCAGCCTGGCCAAGACGGCACAGAGTCATCGGCGAGAGAGCCGCCAGTACATGCTCTCTCACGCTCAAAACATCCCGGTGTCCTCAAATATACAAACGTAACAACCGAGCGAAGGTGAGGCTTTTATCCTTCTAATGAGATTAAAACCCGAAACAAAAGGATTTGAGCAGAGCTTTACTATAGCTTTAATAATAGAGCCATCTTGGAACGTAAAATGGTTAATTACACAGTAGATATTTATAGGCCTACAACAGTTACAAGTTTACAAAAAGAGAAAGAGGGTGGCAGCAGGTGTATTAATGCAAACATTGACCCAACCACGCCACCTAGTGCACATAGAGCAGTGTTACGAATTTAATTTCTTTATCATTACGCGGGGAGAGAATGCACACACTATTCTGTACTTCCACACCACAAATTGGTTTATTTATATCTCACCAGTATCTATCAACATACAGTACTAACATACTCAATCAAAAAGCTTCAATGCCACCCAGACCGCTATTCCTTAGGGAAGAAGTATATTTTGAGCTTGGGTTAAGCGGCAGCCCCTCTGTTAATAAGAATAGCTACTTCTCACCGAATCCCCTTTTATATCTCTCCCCACAATGCGGGGGTCGTTGTGTCCCAAAACAGGTGGTCATCATCATCTGTCTTACTCTTAGTGTGGTCATCCTGACATTGTGATGGTGACGGTGGCTGTAGCGGCGCCGGCGGGTTGTAGTTATCACAGGCCGGCTCAGTATCACTGCTATCACGGTTGCTAGTTGTGCTAGCGCCATCTTCACTTGAAGCAGCAGAAACGTTGTTGTTGTTAGCATCAACAGTGTTTGCATTTTTTTTTTTTAAAAAGCTGGAGATTGTTGGTAGCTTTTGTAGTAATTGAGCTTCTCTTGCTTCTTCGTCCTTGTTGTGCTTTCTTTTCATTGATCCACTTGGTTGTGGTTTTAAACTCTTTTTTGTTTGGGTTTTTGAGTAACCGTCTTCTACGCGTGACTTTTATATATTACGCAATGCTTTTCACTCGCCTCTTGTCCTTCTCAACAGCGCAGCAATACATTAAAATTATTTATTTGATTTATTTACTAGTTAATACTTTGCAACTGCAAAAAAAATCACATTATTCCTCAATATTTTTTTTTTCTCAGAAAGGATGCATATGAATCAAAAGTTCACAGTAAAGACATAATGTTACAAAAGATTTCTATTCAAAATAAATGCTGTTCTTTTAAACTTTATATTTATCAAATCATTCTGAAAAAGTGTACCGCAGTTTCCACAAAAATATTAAGCAGCACAATGTTTTCAACAATGATAATAAGAAATGTTGAGCACCAAGCCAGCATTAAAGTGATTTCTGAAGGATCATGTGACACAAGATGCTGAAATTCAACTTTGTCATCACAGAATAAATTTCACTTTAAAATAGAAAACAGTCATTTTAAATTAATGACAAAAGTAATAGTAGGGCTACTACATTAATAGTAGGCTATAGCATAGTATTTCGCAATATGACTGTTTTTACTGTATTTTTGATCAAACAAATGGCCGGGCTACAGCCTTGGTGAGCATAAATACTTTTCACATTAAAAAAAAATCATATAACAGGTCACCTTTACTTGCCACACGCGGACAGCAAGCAGCATGTTTAAAAATAAGGTTTCATAGGATTCAAGGGCCTACGTGTCATATGTAAATTCAAAATATAAAATAACTTACCTCATCTATCAACATGATGCCAGTGAATTGAGTTAGTGCATATCCACATTGCTATGATCAGATGCTTTCTTAACTATAGCCTACTGTTTTCTCAACGTTGACATTTCTGTTGTGCGATTTATTTTATTGAGAAGAAAGCGAGCAGCACAGCACATATTAATCTAACCTCGCACTCAGCACCGCAGGCGGCATCTGGATGTTTGTTTAAAACTGCAAAGGTATTTCAAACTTCTTTACATCTAAACGAAGAATGAACATTTTTGCCATGAGTATGTCAGGGTATTGAATCACGTTCAGTCTCTTGTACGTACTTGAGCTGAGCATAATAAATTGCTGGCTGCAGTTCACTTAACGGCCACCGGTGTAGCTAATAACACAGGTTTCTGAATTCTACATAGGCCTGTAGCCCATTTAAAAATCAGATCCAGACAACAGTGAAAAGTTTGAAATATTACAGTTTGATCAAAGCATTTAATTTTGAGTGTGATCAAACTGAAGCTTTATCCTCACTTCTCAAACGATTTTAACTTCACAAAACACTGAACCACTGTGCAGAATTAGAGCTAAACTCTGCACAGAATACTGCTCCCAAATGAAATCTCTTTCACTAACAGGGATCAATATCACTGATGCGTGCAAACAAAGACTCTGTGAGTCAGTCAAGATTCACCCTTCACTTTCATTTAACTTGTCCAGTACAAATGGCAATGTAAAAGCAGAAGACTTCCCTTGGTTGGAAATAAAATCTTTTATGCTTATTACGGTCATAGCTCACAGCAAAAACCTGTGCTGCTGTTATGGCAAAATATTAGGCTATAAGACAGCAATAAAATACTTGTGTAAACTTTAATATTATAAAACAGCATATAAAGTTTATTACAGAAAATATACAAGTCACAATAAATGTAAATTTTCAATATATTAAACTAAACTGCATTTGACAGGTAGACATGGCACCAAAAACGGTCTATATATAGGTTAAACATTTCTTGTGTTATCAAGAGATCAAATTTAAACAGCTAATTCATCTTTTATACCTGAGACAGTCTAAGTAGACTAAAAACCTGTAACAGTCCCTGAATAATGACATCGGATAACCAATTTGATCTTCAGATTCTAGTGTGTCACATTGAAGATTTTTGCTTTTTGAACATTAACATAATTGAGTTTTTCCTAAAGTCTAATGCATATCCTGTTATTAAAGTTATTTTAATAAATAAACTATTCCTGATTAAAAAGAAATAAATGACCTGAAGTTAAAACTTTTTAACAAGTGAATGCAAAATGATTACATAACTCCATCTTAATGAGCCACTTATTTCTTTCCTTTTGTGTTTTTTTTCTTTTCGCTTTGGATCCATCATTACGCATCATCATCTGAGAATTTGAATTTGGCATAAACAATAAGCATAACCATTGACATGACCACACACAAGGAGCCAACCACTAAATAAGCAATGCCCAAGAAGTCGTTCTTCCCTCCCATCCAAGACACATTGCTGAAGACCACCTTCTTACGTCCATCAAAACTCAGTACTGGGTAGTCTGGAAATTAAGTGGTTAAGGAAAAAACATAGTTCGTTCATGCTACACATGAGCACTTCTATGGCAGTTAAAAAAAACAGTAAAGCTTACTCAGATAACAAGTGTTTCTAAAAACTTTGCCTTAAAGGTGCAATAAGTAATGTTGTTATCATGGTACACAGCCGGTCATTTTGGACGCATACTGACACCTAAAGTAAAAGGATGTTTTTAATCACTGATACCATTGTAGAAATACTCTATTTACTGCCAGTCATAATCAATTGATTCCACAAGTGTCCAATGACAGGAGGGTTATAGAGATGTATTCAGCTGGAAGACCAGCTCCATGTATATCTTTTATTAGAGCGAGTCTTAATCTCATGTGAATGTATTCTACCGTACACTAAGTTTAAGGTCAGTAAAATTCAGCGAGAACACATTAAATTGGTCAAAAGGGATGATAAAGACATTTAGAACGTTGCAAAAGATTTCTGTTTCAAATAAATGCTGTTCTTTTGAACTTTCTACTAAAAAAGGAATCTTAAAAAAAAATATATATATATATATATATATATATATATATATATATATATATATATATATATATATATATATATATATATATATATAAAATGGCAAAAAAATATAATAGAATAATGGCATCCCTAAAAATATTAAGCAGAACAACAGTCTTCAACATTGATAGTAATATTAAATGTTTCTTGAGCACCATATGAAAATTCTGAAGGATCGAGTGACACTGAAGGCTGGAGTAATGGCTGCTGAAAATTCAGCTTTCCCATCATAATAATAATTACATTTTAAAATAGAAAACATTTACTTCAAATTGTACTAATATTTCAGAATATTCCTTACTGTATTTTTGATCAAATAAATGCAGCCAAGAGACTTCTGGTGAGCATAAGAGACTTCTTTCAAAAAACAGTTTTTTTTCCTTATCTTACCGACCCCAAATATTTGACCGGTAGTGTACAAAAAATATGTTTGTGTGTAAAACCTGTATATCCACATTATTTGTAACGAGTGGGCACGCCCAGCTGTAACTTGAATGTGTGAGGCTTCCGGTTTCATTCGCTTCCAGTTTTTTTTTTACCATACAAAACAGCTCGTTATGCTGCCTTACAGAAAATGGTTTACTGAGGAGAGAAATTTACAAAAGTGCACCTTTAAGACAAATCCCAGCTGCTCTTTTGACTGTCATGCCTTTTCTGTCATTGATTTGCATAGGCACATAATGCATATTCAAAAAAAATACCCCTCTGTTTCTTCTACGTTCTGCTCTGGATCAACTAAAAGCCACACCCAACCTGTAAAACCTGTTTGGCAAACACTGTCAAAAGACATCTGCGAAACAGGACTGAAGCCATATGCCATGTGGTCTTGAGACTACAAATATTTGAAGACTTTCTGACTGTAGCCATGACGTGGCTTAGATGAAATCCTACAAACTTAAGAACATGAAATGAATGAATTAAATATGATAATCCTACTATTAATTCCCAATTAATGTCTTAAATTAATTTTGACCTGCAGATGAAGGATACTGTAATGGACTGTCAGAGAGTAGTTCCCAGCAGGGAGCCCCCCGCTATAATCACCCTCTGTGATTCGCCGGTACAGCTTCCTGAACTCAGGAAGTGCTGATCTCCTCATCCACACAAGGAAGTCCTGGTTTAGGAAACCATTGTTGTTCTGGTCTGTGAGGTCCAGCTCATATGCTGGCTTGGGCCAGTTTTTGGGCTTCACTGTACCTGTTAATCAGCATTAATAAAGATAAAGCATTTAGGTTCTATTCCAAGTCTCAAATCAAATCCGGGGATAGTGACTTAAATAGTGGATAGTGACAGTGCATTACACTGCTAAATTTAAGGCTAATTACCATCGAAAGCCTTTGCAAAAGAGCCATTCACAGAAAAAGGGTTCCTGTACTTGATGTTGTAATCAGTCCACCAGGATATTCCTTTACCATCTAATGGCACCTGCTTCTTCGTACCATTGATTATTTGGTAGAGCTCAAATGTGTCTTTGCAGAAAAAAAAAAAATGATATTAGTAATCCATCCCAGAACTAAGTACATACATAAAGTTAATCTACCAAACAGAAATGATACCATTAAACATGCTATTTGCAATAGCGCCGCATGGGACAATGGCGTTCTTATTGGAGTCATAGTCAAATGGAGAGCAGGAATCTTGCGGACTCTGGAAAGTCAGATGAAAATAAAAACAAGGAACGTATGATCCATTACATCGAAAGAAAAATAAAACAAAAAAAAACATTTAAAAGATCATTCTGGCCAGACACAAACCTTGAAGTATTGTGTATCGCCAGTGAGCTGATAGTAGTCTTTTGACACACCATATTTTCTGAAGTTCTGGTAGTAATTAGACAGGCCATAGTAAAAGAAGATGGGTCCCTGTAAGCACCACAAACATTATCAGTCTCGTTCGAACATTGAGAGAGAAATATCAGGCTTTAAAAGATAGTCAAACTCAAAGACTTTACCTTAAACAATTCACTGAGGGGGAATGTGATTTCACAAGTGCAGTTTTGGGTGTTTGGGGTCGTACATCTGAAACAGGGTGAATCTTTCTCAATGCCTGTGTAATCCCTCTGTGACATGGTGAGAAAACAGAGCATTAATCTTTAATTAACGTCTCTCACCTTGCACAAAACACCCCGGTGTGATAACACCTCCAAACTAACTCAACTACTAGGCAGTGTAATGTAGAGCCAAGGGTTTGATAACTCTAAAAAAGACTTGAATGTTTAAATAGTGTTTTTTTATCCTTTAACAAACAAGCAAAAACTGACCTCAGTACAACTGATAAACTACTAGAGAGGCTGAACAAACTCTACAGTAAAATGCCATGTCATCCACCCAGTGAACTGGCTCCTGTTGTTGTCCTGCAGTAAACGCTTACCTCTAGCACTTGTATGGTCTGTGAAGTCAGAAAGAGGCCAACTCCGATGCCTATGAAGGCCAAGCCAATGAGTAGAAAGCCAGGAATGACAATGCCAGCGGAGAGTATGGGCTGCCATGCTGGGAGCCGTTGCTGTGTGAATGCGGTGTTGTCAGGCCGTTCAGCCGTCTCTCCCTCGTTCTTCATCCTGATGATTTAAGAAAAGAAAGGACAAGCTTACTGTGTGCACCTAAATGACATTGATAAAACAATAATGCTCTGTTTAAACCCCAATGGAAAACAGATCAGAATTCAATGCAACAAATAATACATCAGAAAAGGGTTGTTTCTTCATCTTTGGGAAATTTGATATCTCGGGCGTTGGGATTTTATTTTATTGTTAGATTTTAACTTTTATCTTTTTGTTTTATGAAGGTTACATTTAAAACTGCATTTGAAACATTCATCATTAATGACGTTTTAAAAGACTTATGTATAGATTTTTATTTGTCATTTGAGCCATTTTAAAATCTTCAATCTTAAAAATATGAAAACCCACCATAAAATATGAATTAATATGAACTATCTACTATTATAAACTATTTCAATATGTATTGTGTAGAAATGATTCATATACATTTATTAAAAAATACCTCTCAGTTGTGGCATCATTTCCACCCCACAGAACAATAATTAAGAGCATAAATATTAGATAAAATGACACATGTGATGTGTGCTCAACACACACACACAACAATAATTAAATGATTTAATAAAATAGTAACCATCATATTTATATTAAGCATTATTTTCAATTCATATTATTAAAAAAAAAATGTCATTGAATTATGTGTATTCAGGATAAATAAAGCAATCTGCAACTTTATTCCAAAAATGTAATTTCCATTACAGAATGTTATTAAAATCAATAACATAAAATCAATGTTATTAAAATCAATTGATTTTAACATTCTGTAATGGAAATTACATTTTTGGAATAAAGTTGCAGACTTGCTTTATTTATCCTGAATACACATAATTAAATTACATTTTTACTTTTTTTTAATAATATGAATTGAAAATAATGCTTAATATAAATATGTTGGTTACTCTTATTAAATCATTTAATTATTGTTGTGTGTGTGTGTGTTGAGCACACATCACATGTGTCATTTGATCTAATATTTATGCTCTCTACATATAAAAATATATACATACACACACACACACACACACACATATATATATATATATAAATATAGATATATAGGCTATATATATATATATATATATATATATATATATATATATATATATATGGGCCTAAATCCACAGTTCGCAATCATAGACTGTTCGCAATAGTAAGAAACAACCAATTGTTGGTTGGTTGAACGTGCAAGTCACATTGTTTTGGTCAATATCAGTAATACATTTGGCTTTAATGTAATTATTATTATTATTGGATCCTTATAAATATATTTAGCTAGGCTACTATCAGTTAACGCCAAAACATCAAAATGTTGTAGTAGCCTATACCTGCATGATAAAGTCAAAGACATTTTTGTGAGAATCACCTCACCAGCACTACAACAACAACAACGGGAGACGTCGCAGGAAAACGAAAACGTGCTTCATGAATCTCAATCAGTAATCACTCAATCTGAGAGTAGAAACCTTAAAGCTTAATAAACGGGTTAAAACTAACCTTTAGGAAAAGATCCGCGCAGTCAGTTTGGCCTATTTTAGTTGCCCGCTTTAAAAAATCGTGAAGAACTGTACATCGACAAACAGGAGACACACCTTCACAAACTCCAGTACCTGTTTTACCTGTCGCGCTCGCCGCAGTGGCCACACCTGGGTCAGCTTTTCCGCTTTGCATATGCTCCTCCCATAGCGCATACGTCACACACACACACACACACACACACACACACACACACACACACACACACACACACACACACACACACACACACACACACACACACACACACACACACATATATATATATATATATATATATATATATATATTACGTCGCATACATTAACCCTTCCTTTCCCACTTCAGTCTGGTCACTGTTGGATTGTTATTATTAGAATCAGAATAAGCTTTTTTTTGCCATGTTTGGAATTTGTTTTGGTGACAGAAGTAGCTTCCAGTACACAGAGTCACCAACAGTACATAGATAGTAAAATAAAAAAATAAAGAATAAAGATATGTGAATAAGATACAAATTATGTACTATCTATAAATAAAGAAAAATAGACACATTTGTTGGTGAGCTATATACAGCAGAGTAGAATAGAATTAGCTGTGAATGGAATAAAAAGTTGTCAAATAAATATATTTATCATTGCACAGTGGGGAGAACAAAACTGTTCATGAGGTAGACTGCCATGAGGCAATCTTGTGCCTGACTGTTTTTGGTGCTCAGTGCTCTAGCGCCAGCCGGGCGGCAACAGTTCAAAGAGAACGTGACTTGGATGTGAGTGATCCAGGGTGATTTTCTGAGCCCTTTTCCTCACTCTGGGTGTATATGGTTCTTGGAGTGTGGTGTGGGCAGGGGAGCACCAATAATCCTTTCAGCAGTCTGAACCGTCCTCTGTAGTCTTCTGATGAGCTGAGCCAAACCAGACAGTTACGGAAGGGCAGACTCAATTACTGCAGAGTAGAACTGCATCAGCAGCACCTGTGGCAGGTTAAACTTCTTCAGAAAGTATATCCTCTGCTGGGCCTTTTTTGCAGTAGAGCAAATATTACTGTCTCACTTCAGGTCCTGAGAGATGGTGCACTGCTTCGTCAGTGGTGTTCATGATGGTGAGTCGGGGGTAATGCTGCGGAGTTTCTTCTAAATTCTAATCACGTCCACTGTTTTGAGCGTGTTCAGCTCCAGGTTATGACTGCACCAGACAGCAAGCTGTTTAACCTCCTGCCTATATGCAGACTCATCACCATTGTGTATGAGGCAGATGATGGTGTCGTCTTCAAACTTCAGAAGTTTGACAGAAGGGTCTTTGGCAGTGTTCGTGTATAGGAGACGAGCAGTGGGGAGAGAGATTGGGCCACCAGACCTGATTTTGCTGGTGTTGGATCATGTGAATTTCACCATTCTCACAAGCTTTTGCCTATCTGTCAGAAAGCTGGTGATCCACTGACAAATAGAGCTAGGAACAGAGAGCTGGGTTAACTTCGTCTGGAGGGGTGCTGGGATGATGCATGGTGTTGAAGGCCGAGCTGAAGTCCACAAACAAGATCCTCGCATAAGTCCCTGGTTTGTCCAGATGTTGCAGTCCCATGTTGACTGCATCATCCACTGAGCTGTTTGCTCAATAAGCAAACTGCAGGGGGTCCAGCAAGGGGTCCAGAGATGTCCTTCAGGTCAGCCAACAGCCTTTCAAATGTCTTCACGACGTGAGAGCGACAGGCCTGTAGTCAAACTTTTCCAGTTTGCCATCATGTTTTGAGCGATCTGGACGATATGTTTCCACAATTTTCATAATATCTATAAAGTAGACACCCAGAAGTGGTTTGGGCAGTAATGTTAATAATAAATAAATAAAAACCTCTAAAACCCACATAAAAAACATACGAAAAAACAGGGCATGTGTTATAGTTCGGCATGCACTGCGTCACAAATGGAGAATATTTCGCTATCTATCTATAATTGTTCTTTTGAAAATCAGTCACAAAAAATCTGAAAACTAAAATCTGAAACCTTTCAAATATGGTTGTCAAGATTACTTTAGGTTTAGACTAAGATATTATTGTTATAGATGTGTGGCAAATGTCCCAAATATGTGGGGGAGGGGCCGTCTTAAAATAGTGGTTCCATTTTTTTTTATTAATAATAGATTAAGATATTTATTCTTTGTAATGTGTGAAATGTATTGATAAAAGGGTTCAATTATTAAAAAGGTTCATTGTTTTCTCACAATTCTGTTTTTTATTTTTTTTATAGTGTGATTTATTTGGGAATTGTTTTGAATCCAACTGGTGTCAATTTGACCCACGGCATCAGGATAGTATGCAGAATTCGATTATAACATGAGGGTTGATATGAGGAATGGAACATTTTACGTTGTTGATTTAGTCCATGAATATTTTGCATACAGGTGAACGACGCAAGTAGAATTTGCATAAATTAAACCTGACTTTCCGAAACATTTGATCGATGGCATTTTACCCAATTAAAACACTGGACAATTTAGATCCCGCCTTCTTTACCATCGTCGTCTACCCTGATTGGCTGTGGTATTTCAGCAGGGACAAGCGTCTGTTTCTTTGTGCTAGACTCCCCACAGCCGCGAGGAGGTAAATATAAATACTATATTTTTTTATAAACAGAGTACAACGCGTTAAATGAGACGAACGCATTACATTTATATATATATATTATATGATAATTATGATAAATAAACAGTAATGAAGAACTAAGGGTTTCTGTAGATTGATAAGCAGAAGGAAGAGCTCGTGCAGCTAGCAATAGCATGTTTGCTAACCCGTGCACGAGCGTCAGTTATAGTGTTATTTTTCATTGTTACAAAATGAAAATATATTGTTTGTGACCGTTTAAAAAAATAAATTCTTTAACGCGTAAGCCCACATTTAGAGCTGAGACTGGTGTTCCTGGCTTTAGTCATATGCGCGGTATAGCGTTTATCTGACATTGCTATTAAAACAGCTTAGACTTGTAAATTATGTTCAGGCCGCTCATTTATTGTGTTGGTCTCTGATTAAAAGTAAACGTATAGCTTTCATTTGGTTTAATTCTACATAATTTGTTCACTATCTATTTGAGCAGAGAAATGGGACCAGAATAAGATATGTTTTGTAATAATGTAACGTTACAGTCAAAGTTATTATGCAGCATTTACCCAACATCTCTAAGCTCCTCTCATAAAGTATGTTACCTGAACAACCTGAGTGTCTCCAACAATGCCTGTTTGTTCAGAGCAGGTGCACTAGTGCGACGTTAAACTTCTGCAAACCTCTTTTTGTTTTGAGGATAAGCATTAAAATCCATTGGCACATGTAATGTGTGGCAGCCAGCAGTACATTAATTATGTTAGGTATGGGACCAAACTCTGGAAGGAATCAAAGATGATCATTGTTAATCTTGAAGCATTTAGTTTATGACAGAGACTCAAAGATTGTATTGTCTCTCTTTAGATTGCTAGTAGGGATGTCAATTTTCACAAATTCCCATGATCGATCGTCGTTTAAATTAACGATCAATTAATCGATTAATCGTTAGCCTTAATACTGCAATATGCGTCTGCTGCAGTGCATATGGCCAACAGCATGACAGCGTCTGCAAATGCTGCTCAAACCGCTATGTTCCTCACCAAATTAATGAGAATGGTTTTAATGTAAATAAAGGGCTAGTAGGATTGTAAAATGTTTCGATGTGATTGATAATTAAATTACGGGGCTCAAATTTCGGCGCGGGATTGCGGGTATATATTAGCGCATAATTCTAATAATTCCCGCAGGTCTCCCATTTATAATGCAGGAAATTCCCGCAATCGTAATCCACACAGATTATAAAATCAAATCATTCTTTTAACCACTATCTGCCAGGCGCAATTTCACAAACAGCGTGGGTGTTCAGCAGTGCCGCGTCTTCTATCTCTTCTCTCAAAATGTGTTGTGCAAGGCAGGCATCAAGCGCTGCGGCGACACACTCGCGTTTAGGAGTCGGGACATGACGCAATATTCACTTGCACAATCGGGCCAGCAGTGCATCGTGACTGAAGTTTACTATTTGCACGTCTTTTTAAGTCTTACCAGTTTAAACATTCAAGCGATTTTAAACTAATCAGTGCTCGTGCGCTCTCTGAGATGATTTTCTATGCGCACATTCATAGAGAATCCGCCTCAAAAACAGCTGGCCAGTAACAAAAGTTATTTTTTGCGGATTATATTGCTTTAACACGCAAAATTGTGTCAATTTCGGTCTTCGTGAGTATACTCTAAACATAGTCGGTTTTGTCTTTTAATAAGCATAAAACGCATGCCAGTATAATGAACACAGGATCCGTGCACTAGCTCATTAATTTAGTTGTCAAAACAACAAAATATAGCTTTAAGTTAAAGGAATCAGGATTAATAGCCTATATTTAATTTATTCAGGACTAAAATACTACCCAGTGTTATTTTCCATTTGATTACTTTATTCAGTTTCTGTAGGCCTATATGAAGTTAGACCCATTGAAAAACTTTTCTCTTTATTTGTCTTTATTCTATTGTATTTATTTGTGCTACTTTTTTCAATTTAATTAAACAATTTAAATCAAGCTTCCTTGTGTTGTGTAAACTCTTAACAACAATATTACCCCATTGTAAAAATGCAATGAGCGCAAACATTTCGGCAAGATAAATGTAATTTTTGTTTGGAAAAAATGCCCCCCGCCCTTCTCCCCATGAGAATCATCTAAGGGGGGATTTCCCCCCCATTTTCCAAAACGAAATTCAGGCCCTGAATTAAATTAAATATTTAATAATCAAATATAACGACTAATACAACGTGTCACCAACACCGCCTCAGATGCGCTTGTCAGAATGTGTGACTTGTGGACGCGTGCTCTTCCTGGAACAACGCACTTAAAACGGCAACTAAACCCAATGAATTCACACCGATTTAATAAAATAGTGTTCTCATGTTATGTAATATGACAGTCCCAAATTAATCCTCGTTATTAGTCGTGCATTCTGCTTGAGCGGCGCCCGCTGAATGAATAGGCACTTTGCTAGCACGTTATTTAACTCAAAGAAACGCATCCTATGAGATTAATCAGATATATACAAAATAAACATAATATTACAAATTATATCTGCACAAAATGACGTGAATGCACAAGTGAACTTGAACTAAGTTACGTGCCATTCAGAATGACTCACGTTGTGGACGCGCTCTTCCTGGAACAAAGCGACACGGCAACTAAACCCAAATAATTCACAATGTTTTATTACAATATTGTTCTCTTTATAATGTTATATAATATGACAGTCCCAATAATCGTTATTAGTCGTGCATTGCCATTTGAGCTGCGCGCGCTAAAGATCACGCTGCGTCAATTCTTAACCAAATGCATCCAATATGAGATAAATCAGATATAGATAGGCGCACACAAAATAAACTACAACTTACATTTGCACAAAACAAAAGGCAGCGAATGCACACGCAAACTTATAGTCATGATGAAGGTGTAAAATAGTCCCAAACATAACTCCGGCGCGCTCGCTTACATGTTTCGCGGTTGAGCAGCACGCACGCGCATGAACCTGCTTAATCGATGATCGATAAGGTGTATCGATTAAACGTGTTATCGACAATTAATCGATCGTCGATTAATCGTTGACATCCCTAATTGCTAGTCATCTTTTATTTGTGCACCTACATTCAGCTTTTTTTCCTCACTTCAGGTGAGTCCTCTGTCACCTGTGATGCTGTCCAATAAGAAGTCAGACCCAGGCTCCTCTTCCTCAGGGGGTAACGGCGGTGACCGTGCTCCTGAAATCCTCCCTGTCCCTCAGGCTGGTCCGGCTGGTCCCTCTGGCCCGGGTTCAGCAGATGTGAAAAAGAAAGAGAGAGCCTCCCCAAGTGGGGAACCAGGTGGACCCCCTCTCTTGCACCCTCCTGGACCAGGAGGGATTGATCAGGACTCTGCAGAGGGGCGCAGAACCAGTCGCCGCAAGAGGGCCAAGGTAAACATTTCTATTAATGTTTCCTGTTCTCTGAAGAGAGAACAGGAATGATTAAGGCAGGCATATTTAGCATATTAGTTGAACTGAGACAGAAAAATTGGGTGAAGTAAAATAATTCATTGGCACTAAATGATACATTACTTTTTATTGCTCTGATACTTAAATTGGTCTGATTGATAATCAAAAATACTTATAATAAAAGTGGTATAGTGTTAAATAAAATCCAACATCAAATTCTTAACTGATTTCTGGTAAATGTTGATATTTGAAATCACCAAAACAAACATGCCCCTACTCAAAAGGGTTATCACACCCCTATCTTGATGCCTCCAACCCCACGTTCACGTACACACTATGCAACACAGGCAACGACTAAAGCGGAATCTTCTGTGCCTGCCGCCTGAGGGTATGATGTCATCAAAAACTGAAAGCAATTTGTGTTACTATGATAATTCAGGTTGAATGTCTAATTGTTATTTAGCTCCTCTACTCCTTCGATGGCAAAATCATCCCTTCCATCCCAAAAAACAAACAGTTTTCATAAACGTTTAAACAGAAGTTTAGTCTAAACCTAGAATGTCTGAACCGACTGATGCCCTGGATGCGTATCATTATCATTTTAATGATAATAAGACATTTAATAGCTTCTGTTTTCAATCACATTTTCATTTCACAAACTTACAGGACAAGCATATAGGCTATGCATTTATTTATATTATGAAAAGAAAGATGAACAAAGACTACGTCACTTTTCAGTTTTCATATTGAACAGTTGTCGCAGACCGTGAGTAAACCCTTCCTCTCTACTACGTTACAGAACGAAATAAACATGAATGAACATCAGAAAATATTTTGAAAGAGACTGTACAACTTACCGAAGTCCATATCATGTCTCATGTAATTGCTCAATCAGTGTTGCAAACAATGTCACGTAACATACCTCAGAAAAGCCATTCGTTGACCATTAACTTGATAGTCGGCAAGAAAAATAACTCTAGAGAGGAGCATTTTGCAAAATATATGCACCATATTACATAGCCTAATCATATTTTTTGTTTGAATTAATCTGTCAAGTTTTTATGACAGCCACCATTTAAAACAAAATGAGCTGGATTAGAAACTTAATTATGTAAGTATAAGTATTTTAACTTTATTAATATAAAATGGACGTAAACTGGGTACTCGCCTGTGTGTAATCAAACACATCAACTTCTCATGTTAGTTTTCCTTTAATTCTGGAAACTGAACTCACGCTCTGCAGCCACACTGAATTGCACTCGCTAGCAACTGGACAGGGGTGGGAATTACAGTGGGAATTACAGGTACAAGTTACAATAGATCACCCTCGGTGTAATCTGTTAAAATGACTGATGGCCTTTAGATTTTTTCGTCACTGCTAAAAAAAAATTGGACAATGGCGTCACCTTGCTCGTCTTCCAAGTGGAAATTTCTCTGAAGCCACCGCGAGTGCCATAGAGGTAAAATTAAATTTAGTTTTTCTGCTCCAGATATACACTTCAAAATAATATATTCATTTTAAAATGTAACATTAACATGATGGTAATTTAAATGTAGCCTTTGTAAAAATATAAGCAAAACATTAAATGTGTAAAAAAAACCAAAAAAAAACAAGTCGACTAGCAGCAGAAGTAGTTTTCAATGGACTAATCGAATTGTCTCGCACATCGCTAGTTTTCATCAACAGCTCCCTGCATAACACGATAGTCCAAGTAAATAATATTACAAATGTGACAAGATTAAGGAGTTATAGCAATCACTAAAAAGGGAACCAAAATAAATAACATATCAGGGCTCCAGACTAACTTTTTTCACTAGGAGCACAGTGGCCCCCAACTGAAAATTTTAGGGGCACAACCAGAAAATTTAGGAGCACACCCCGTAAATCAACATACTAACCAAATATTCACATTTCTACTAATTTCTAGTGTATTACTAATAAATACTTTGATAATAGATGCAGAAATTACAATGCCTTTGCGCTCTGATTTAACGTTACAACCTCTTGTCTTCTAAAAGCAACCGGCAGTGGCGTTGCTTTTTGATTTATTAACATGTCGCCGCATACTCTATGCTTGAGGCTAAGATTGTGTTTAACTAGCGTATTGTGTTTAAACTGCAGTGCCTGCACTGTCTGCAAACTTCGTGTTCCCCGCAGTTACTGTAGCGACTGCATCATTTGCAGGTCATGAAATTCGTCTCCTTCCAGTACTACCTTAACCAGCTGAAGTCTCGCAGCCAGTCTTCACGAAAAATTGTGGGTTTGGCCTTTTTCGCCACAAAAACCTCTCACTCTGAATCATCTTCCGACTGTGACACTGTACTAGCTGCAACGTTTCAAATAGCTCATGGTTCAGTTTGTATCACGGCTTTAGGTTCACGGTTTCGGTATGATTCGGTATGTGCTATGTTCAGGGAATAAAAAGACTACTATCAAATAAAATAAAGAAAATATGAACAAATAATCTAACCACAAGCAAAAGCACAAATAAATACAATAGAGCAAAGATACTAATAAAATAAACAATGCTTTTCAGATAGGTCCAACATTAGTTTTCAGGTACAGAAATTGAATAAAATAATCAAATGTAAAATAACATTGCATATTTGACTATATAAATGAAAGATTAATCCTTATTAAAGTTACAAAAGCTATTCAATTCAGAGCTGATTCAGTAGGCCTACACGATACTGTGAGTTTCTTTCTTGACCATATAAGTTCACTTAAGGCATAACAGACAATGACTACGTTTACATGCAGCCAATAACCCGTTCAAAACCGGGATATTAGCAATAACCCGGTCGCGAACGGCCATGTAAACACCGGCAAAAACCCGAATATGCTCATATCCCGGATTTTAAAAACCGGGATATTATACCTGGGGTACCCCTTTTCTAACCCGAATTTTTGGTCATGTAAACGCGCATCGGCATATCCCCATAGTGATGTGTGTTCTGCGCATGTTCTATTCGCAAGGAATCTTGGTCTTTTGAGTAGAGAAACTTCTCTGCGCATACAAAAACCCGCGTGCAGTATACCGGAAGTAAACATGGCGAGACGCAGCACAGCATACTTTTGGAGCGAGGTCAGTAACGTTACCAGCACCAAAGCGTAAACAAAGGCGATCGCTATCTGCCCCGAACTATTCATTATCCGCGTGCTGCTGTTGTTGTTGTCTTTGGATACAGGAAGAAGAATCGTAAATGACGCATATTGCGTCTTAAGGTTGTCCGTACGTCCAGACGCTAACCACGCGTCGCGTTTACATCGTGATATTGCAATTCCATGTATACAGGAGTAACTCTCTCTGCTCACGCATGTAAACGGGTTATCCCTAATGTTTCAGAAACCCGAATAGTGACCTTAACCCGACCATAACCCGAAATTTGGCTGCATGTAAACGTAGTCTGTCTGCTATAGGATACTCATCAAGACATGTTGACATACTTTTTGTGTGAATTTGTCCATTCAAGTGCAAGACTTGAAAGAGAACTCAATATTTGCGCGCTGTCTGAGATGAGTAGCCTACACATACACACACGCGTGCGCGCACAGACACACGCGCACAAATCTTCTAGACGCGAGTTCTCTTTCGCGTCTTGCTCTTCAATGTTTACATTGACAAAACTTAAATGAGTTTAGTTTAAACACCGATGGTAACGTCTGCAGTTCAGGTCTCACCTGCGCTCGTGCGCTATCAACTCCCGGGTGATGACGGCGTAAATGACAGGTCATGTTCGAGATTTGGCACTCACATTGAACAGTGTTTACAAAGAGTAATCGTTTTGTTCACGTTTTTTTATTATCGCTGTTGTAATGTATTATTTGGGAAGCCAGCAAGTGAATTTAACTGGCACACTAGCCGCAGGTTGGAAGAACGAGTCAATAGTTCGCTTGTTCATTGCTCAGACGCACAGCAGGTTGTCTGCGTCTCCGTCTCCTTCCCACAGACGTTTAAACACGCGCTCGGTTATCTCTAGGACCCTCCCCCTCCACACATCAGTCACTTACAGTGGCCATTCCCTATTCTTCTCACACTCATTGGCCTGCCACACATTCCGGATTCATTGATAAGCCCCTTCCACTTTTAACATGGAAAAAAAAGGGGGACAAATTTACTGGTCGCACATGTGCGACTGGATGTAAAATTCAGTCGCACACTCTCAAATTTTGGTCGCAGTCTGGAGCCCTGCATATATTAGGAGTATGTTATCTCACTTTTCTGACACACTTTGGGAGCCGATGCTTGAAACAGGCGGTGGAGGTTTAGACATTCCAAGCTATAATAATAATAATGCAAACAAGCTAAGATGACACAAGTATATTCAAGAAAAGACAGCATATTTTAGTTCTGTGAAACACAGCAAAACCAACGTTACTCGGGTATTGAGAAGAAATAAAGCAACCTTTGCGTCTATTTTCAGGCCCTCTCATTTTCTCTGCCATCTCTCTTTTTCTATTGTCGTTCTGTTCATTTCTGTCTTGTGCACTGAGCTCTCTCTCCCCCCATCGTCTGTATATGCCATAGGCATAAACCCCAAAATGACATTTCTAACTATTAACAAGAAGTTAACATGTTTTACTCAACCTGCAGGAAATTAAAAAATCTTAACAAGTTATGTTACAAATTTTAGGTTGATATCTCAAAAAAATATTTAGTTTGGATGCAGTACCAAACTTTTCCTCCAGATGACATCCAGGCTCTATTGATAATAGGGTGACCACCCGTCCCTCTTTACGTTGTACCGCACAGCATTTTCACCCCTTGTCCCGCACGTCGCATATTGAGAAAATGTTTCGCATTTTCATTAGTCTGTTGGTTTTTAATTATCATAATTAAGAAAACGTGCATGTGTTCTTTTGCCTTTTTAAGAAAGCATTTTATTTATTATTTTTGCTATGGTTGTTTTAATTCACATCCTTTCTAAAAATGTGAAAGGTTTTGGTTTAATATATTCTTAATATATAAGACTGTCAATGGACTAATTTCATGTTGTTTTATATTTTATTTGTTCATTATTTATTTTGTTGGATTTTAGTTGGACTTGGTCAGAACTGTTTCAAAAATAGTGATCTGCATGATGCCTGCTGCCTTTGGGCTCAGTGATGTTGAATTTATGACATGTAAAATAAAGACATGTTATGTTACATTGTGATGTAATGGTGTTTTCTGGAAGGGACTAAAGAACAAAGTATTTTTATCAGCTGAAAGGCAGAATACAAATGTTTTTATTAAGTTAGATAGACAACGGTTTAGGTTATGTTTTAGTGTTGGTAACGTCCCTCACAAACTTAGTAATCAATCCGCATTTGGTTTGTTTGATGGTGGTCACCCTAATTGCAAACCAAATAAGGACTCTAACATTTCCATATATATATATATATATATATATATATATGTGTATAATTTATGAAGTAGACACTCTAATCAGAAGTAGTATGGGCAGTTTGGCAGTATTTGATTTGAATTCGACCTCTAACAAACACACAAAAGGCATGCGGAAAGAACACAGATGTGCGTCAGCTCGCCGCATCACAAATGAAGAATCTAATGTTTTTAGTTAAAAACATTTCATACCATTTTTTTCTAATAAAATAAAAAGAAGAAAAAAAAGAATATATGTAATTATTATAACTCTTGACATGAAAACAAATAGAGGTTTCTACCATTCTTTCATAATTTTTCATGTATATCACTATTTCAAAATAAAGGCCTGAACATGCCTTATGAGTCTGAAAATATTCTTGTTGCAGTTCTTGTAATACATTTACTGTACTGTCATTTCTATTAAAAACCACACCTATATAAAAACTAGAGTTTGTAAGCTTTCAAATGATGCATAGTTTGTCAATATTACTTTAGGTTTAGAGTGACCAAGATTTTATTGGTTTAAAAATGTAATGGCAAACGTCCCACCGGTAGGATGGTGACAGTTAAGTAGAAACTGGATAAAACGTTACCAAAAAGTGGCATTGTTTATGTATTTTGTAATGTTTCCTTTTTTTCTTCAGAGTTTGATGCATATATGAACAGACTTCCATGTCAAGGATAACAAATAAGGGATTCAGGGAGAGGTTTTATGTGTTTCACTTGTATGTTTCATTTGTGATGTGTTTCCTCCCTTTGTTCTTTTCTATTTTTTTTTTTTTTTAAATAATCCCTGTAATGCCAAAAATTGCTATAAAAAGTGACATTGCAGTAAGTTGTAAGAGAATAATGGTCCCATTTCATCCCAGGTGAAGCAGAACAAGGTTTTAATGAAGCTTTTATTGTGCCTCCTGCTGCAGGTGGAGTACAGGGAGATGGATGAGAGTCTCGCCAATCTGTCGGAGGATGAGTATTACTCGGAGGAAGAGAGGAACGCTAAAGCTGAGAAAGAACGCAAACAGGTGGTTCCTCCACCAGCCCCACCAATAGAGGAGGAGAATGACAGCGAACCTGAGGAACCATCAGGTATGGAAAGAGGTTGGCCTAATCTATCATTTTATACCTTTTACTGAATTCCAAAAGCACTTTAACAAACATTTCAAAATGATTCCTGTCATTTTGACATAATAGTTGTGAGTCTATGAATTTGAAATATTGTAACTTTTCAGGTGTAGAGGGGGCTGCCTTCCAGAGCCGTCTCCCACATGACCGTATGACATCACAGGAAGCTGCATGCTTTCCTGACATTATCAGTGGACCACAGCATACTCAGAAGGTGTTCTTATACATCCGGAACCGCACAGTGAGTTCACAGCTGGAGACACAATTTTGTGATATTTGATTTAAAGTTTTTTGAAGCTGATAAGCAAGATCCAAATAGACACATCATTATTATGGCAGAAACTCTTCTAGAAGTTGTATTGGATAATAATACACTACTGTTCTATAATTTGTGGTCAGTAATACAATTTTTTTAAAGAAGAAATTAATAATATTCAGAAAGGAAGCATTAAATTGATAAAAATCTTTGCAAAAGTTCTTTTGTATTTTCTATTCGGCAAAGAATCCTGAAAAGATGGTTTCCTCAAAATATTAAAGCGATACTCCACCCAAAAATTATAATTCTGTCATCATTCACTCACCCTCAAGTTGTTGCAAACCTGTATGAGTTTCTTTCTTCCGATGAACACAAAGGAAAATATTTTGAAGAACGATTCATTTTTGGGTGGAGTATCCCTTTAAGCAGCACAACTGTTTTCAACACTTTTAATAATAAATGTTTCTTTAGCACCAAATCAGCAAATTGGGATATTTCATGCAACCCTGAAGACTGGAGTAATGGCTGTTGAAAATTTAGCTTTGCCATCACAGGAATAAATTAGTTTAAAATGTAATAAAATAGGAAACAGTTATTTTAAATTGTAATCATATTTCACTATATTACTGTTTTTACTATATTTTTGATCAAATAAACGCAGCCTTTGTGAGCAAAAATCTTACTGACCCAAACTACTGAAAGTAGTGTAGAAGATATTTAAAGATGATTCAACACAAACGTTTCAGGAACAACTAAATGTGTTTTCCAGTCAGTTGTGAAAATGTCTTCTCTCAAATGTTCAGCTTCAGCTATGGTTGGACAACCCCAAAGTTCAACTGACCTTTGAGGCCACTGTGCAACAGCTAGAAGCTCCATACAACAGTAAGTCTGTTCCACCTGACATTGCTCTGATTCCAAAAATCCAAAATTTGATGTTATTAGACTTTATTGAATGTATAGACTTAAAAGGTACACTATGTAACTTTTGGCCCTCCAGCAGTTTAAAAAAAACTGCATGCATTTTGTAGTAGACCGTTGTTTTCGTTGTGCTTCGGCTCTGTGTAACTGTGTGGATGAATATGGTTCTTTCTCTAAACTAAAAAAAGAGAGAGATATTTATTCTACTGCTCAACTTTTACTATTAGGTTTAAGTTTAGATGGAAAGGATCTCAAGCTGACTAGCTAAAGACTAGGGCTGTCAAAATTGCTCAAATGACGTTTGAATATTCCATCTGGTTGCGCATTTTGTCAATGACGCGCATTATGTCAATAACAGGACAAATTAATATAAAGAGACATAACTAGTTGTTTAAGTAGTTTATTTAAGTTTAAACATATTTGACAACGTATTAACTTACACAAAAACAAGTAAATCAACTAATGGCTAAGACCGCAGACCTTACTCTCGCTCCCACATTTGCAGGCACTCTTTCTCTCTCTCTCTCTCACCTCACGCTCTCTGCGCATAACGGTTTAAAAATGAACAACAATAAACTAATGTTGAGCGCTGATCAAGAGTTTTGTGCAAGCAATTTAAGGTCGCGGCTCTTGTCCTAAATATAGCAGGCTTCATTCAGTGATTGAAACAAATATTATTAACATTAATTGAAGTTTTACAGTATATAGAACCGACATTGAACGCTCCGAGCGAGCTGTGCTGTGGTAAACTGCTGCTATAATGGCTATTTCGGGGGCTTGGCGGGCTCTGACGTGTATGATGTAATGCTAGCTCATTGGTGCACACGTTGGAGGCGCCCGCGCCATTGGATGTGCAGTTGACGCAGCACAGCCAATGAGTGAGCCAGACACTCGCTGTGCTGCTGGGAAATGCGTTTTACATTTTAAGCTTCAGAATTTTGCCACTCGCAAAGCAGACAGCCGCGCCTCTGCTACCGCGGGCGTGTTTTTCCACATTCGAATATTAATTTTCACCTTCGAAGTTCTGTTTTATAAAACTATTCGAATATTTATTCGAATTTAGAATATTCGTTGACAGCCCTACTAAAGACATCATAGTAGCTATACACTTTAATAGACGCAGTACTTCCTTGAAATAAAATTCCAGCACAGCGCAACAACAACTATAATGAAATGTTCATAATAGATAATGCTTGCAATGTAAAACGTACAAATAAAAACACCATCTTCAAGTCACTTTTACAACGTTTAAAATCCTTCAGTTCTCGCCATCTTCAAAAAGCAAAGACATTTTTTTTGTCACGTTCTCTTTTTGACAGCAGGCCCTCGGCTGTTCTGCGTTTTTTCGAAAAGAGATGTTCGAGATTTGCATGCTTCATGTCAACCTCTCTCGATCATTGTGACAACTAACTTGTGCCACTACCACACCATACACACGGCAAAGTAGCCGGATAAACTTTTCTCTATTACGGATATCACGAGACCCGCAAGGGCGAGTGACGTATGCAAGCAGTTTCCTGCGAAAACCACCCAGACAGGTCTAAAATATAAACGCTTATAATAGGCTTACCTTATTTAATCAGGACAAAAACACGTTTTGATGATGTATTGACTCATTATTTAAATAGTTAATTTTGAACAGCTATAGTTACATAGTGTACCTTTTAATTGTATTTGTTAATTATTTGTGTGTATATTTTTTATTTGTCCTCTCTGCAGGTGATGCTGTGCTGGTGCACCGGATACACAGCTACCTGGAGAGACATGGGTTTATCAACTTTGGCGTCTACAAGAGAGTAAAACCTCTGCCAAGTAATTGAGACTTAATGTTACAACAGAGCAGAACTAGAGATATTAATGTCCAAACAAACAGGAAGACAACAGTATTTTTTCACAATTATGTTTAATTTTTCTGGTGTAGAGACAACTCTGTATTGTTCATATTACACTCACTTATGTTCTTGTAGCAAAGAAGACTGGAAAGGTGATAGTGATTGGAGGTGGGGTGTCAGGGCTGGCAGCAGCAAGACAACTGCAGAGTTTTGGGATGGATGTGACTGTTCTGGAGGCAAGAGTAAGTACATTTTTCTACGATACAGCATTTTACACACAGCTGAGAAGTTTTTTTTCTTTTACAAACCTTGATTGTTCTTGATAGGATCGTGTAGGAGGCCGAGTGGCCACTTTCAGGAAAGGGAACTATGTAGCTGACCTTGGTGCCATGGTAGTGACTGGACTGGGTAAGAAATATCAAATACACTTCTCTCCAGGAAGTGGCACTATTTACCATGGAAGAGTCATATGTTCATTCAGACTTTTTGCAACAGTTTGAAATTGACGTGTACATCTTTCAGGTGGAAACCCTATGGCTGTAATCAGTAAACAGGTCAACATGGAGCTGGCCAAGATCAAACAGAAGTGTCCACTCTATGAGGCCAATGGACAAGCTGTGAGTGCTCTTGAAACACTGGGAGACACGCATCACTCTGGTTTCATACACAGATCAGTAATAATACTTTGATATTCTGATCTTATACATACAAGTATATAAGTAATATATCAAAAGTAAAATGAATGTTAAAATAGGAATATAATGTAAAAAGTGTCACAATTTCGATCATGATATTAGTAGATGTGTACAGCATCCATTACCTCAGTGTGTTCACAGTGTTATAGTGCAGTTGTTTCTCAGACCAGTTAACATGTTTAAATCAAATATGAAAAGTCTCCTCCCATTCTCTTCTGATTGGCATCTTAACGATGTTTAAAGTCAAGCAGTCAGACTCTAATTAGAGGAAAAAAAACATTCTAACAGTATTTTTCTCTCTCTCACTCTCTGCCCCCTCTTAACCCCTGCACATTTTTCCTTTGCTACATTCCATCCTATTCTATTTGTTTTTCTCTTACTTGATTTCACTCCATTTTCATTTCTTAAAATGCTGATTATCCAGGGAGAGCGCTGCACAAGTGTAAGTATTTCTGTTTATAATATCATACAACACATATAATTAGAGCAATTGTTCCAGTTAATTTATTCACATACTTATAAAAATAAGACAAACCTGTATTCACTATGAAATTGTCATTGGGTGTTGTTTCTATGACCACCTGTTCAGTACAGTTTGCTACCCAAGAAGATGATGGAAATGAACACCTGTTAAATGGCAGACATCCTGCTTTCATAATGTGTTCTGATCCTTTAAATGCATGATGTTAATTGTCTGCATTGTTTGGTGATACAACTGAATTTATGAATAATTAAGCTCGGTCTATCAGTTAAGGTCAATATAATCCCTCAGGGAAAAAGAATCCCCATTAATAAAATGCTACAATTTGTTTAAAAAAACAACAACCATATTGTTCCTACACTGACACTGACACATAAAAGACACTGTTTTTTTTCTTGGAAATACATCTGAAAAAATGGGGTGGTGTTATATTCAGGGTCTAGACTTTTACATGTAAATAATTCACCCGCAACAATAGGGAGCACCAAATACGAAATACGAGTAAAACGAGTGTTCCGCCCAGGACTGATAAACACAGCGGAGTCATCAAACAACTCTCATTAAACAGCCAAGAAATACAGTGTGTCAGTCAAAGGAAAGCTTAAAGTGGTCCTAGAAATCGTCATATATTCGGAACAATACAGTATTATGTTAATTGTTCTTTACAGTTTATTGATATGCACAGGTTTTACATTTAAAAGAGCAGTTCACCGTAAAACCGCCTCATGTTGCTCCAAATTGTATGATTTTTATGTTCATTTAATGGTTGTAACCCCGCTGAAGGTCCCTAAAGAGAAGGATGAGATGGTAGAGCAAGAGTTCAATCGCCTGTTAGAGGCGACATCGTATCTCAGCCACCAGCTGGACTTCAACTTTCTTAACAACAAACCCGTGTCTCTGGGACAAGCCCTAGAAGTCGTCATACAGTAAGTGAACACTGGATTTATTTAATTTTCTAAGATCCTTAAGAATTAAACCTCAGAATAAAAGCAATTCTTGTCCTTTAAAATAAGAGTCAATAGCTTGGCACTGACGTGCTTTTCTCTGTTCAGGCTGCAGGAAAAACATGTGAAAGATGAACAGATCGAACACTGGAAGAAGATTGTGAAGACTCAAGAGGAGCTCAGAGACCTTTTGAACAAGGTAATTAACACACAGTTACACGTCCCTCAGTTACAGCTTACTCATCACACAGTTAATTTGCTTGTTCGTGTTCTTGTTCAGATGGTGGGTACTAAGGAGAAAGTAAAAGAGCTGCATCAGCAGTATAAAGAGGCCAGTGAGGTGAAGCCACCCAGAGACATCACAGCTGAGTTCCTGGTGAAGAGCAAACACAGAGACCTCACAGCTCTCTGCAAGGTAGTAGACCAAAATCCCCACATTGACCAAACCCATATGACATCACCCCACACTGACCATATAAACATTGTGCACGCTCACACATTTAGACATGCTGATAGAAAACCACATGTCAAAGACAATCAGTTTGTTGCAAACAATTCTTGCAATCCACCGATGCTGAATGCACATTCGACAGCCAAATCGACAGATCCCTCACGAAATCTCCTAATTAGGTCTTCTCTGGTAGCAGCTCCAGACACCTCTGGATCCATCATGCTCGATCTTAATATCTTTTTACTGCACAGCAGTGTTTTTCAACCATGCCAAACACCTCTGCGCTTGGTAATGGAGCATAATACCATTTCAGCCTGCTGTTTTAAGTTGGGTTGTTTTAGTACATTTTCCAAACCGCAGTCTAACATTGTCGGACTCTCTTTAGCACCCACAGAGCAGAAAGTTAAATTCCTAACTTAAGCGGTCTACACTGGTGAGATTTTAGCATGTTAATTCACATAATCACTCTCAATTGTAGCCTATTAGACTACTTTAACCATTTATGGTTGAAACATGAATTTCGACGCCTGCTCACTCACATTGGGGTTTAACTTCATTTTAAACTTTAGAGATACTTTTAGTGCATGACTCAGTGATGAAGCCTTAAACCTTGGCCTTCAGGTTTATAGTATGGAAAAATTACAACTATTTTATTCACATTTTCATATATTCAAAATCAAAACTTGACTACAGAAGGATTTTTTTATAAATCAATATATATAGGCAGATTAGTCTTTAAAGGGGCCAACTAACTGTTTTCTCCATGATATGGACTACCATTCAAAAGTTTGGGGTTGGTAAGATTTTCTAAATGTTTTATGTTCACCAGGGCATTTTTTTAATCAAAAATACAGTAAAAACAGTAATATCACAAATTATTTCCATTTAAAATAACTTTTATATTTTAATATAATTTAAAATGTAATTTATCTCTGATGGCAAAGCTGAATTTTAAACAGCCACTACTCCAGTCTTCAGTGCCACATGATCCTTCAGAAATCATTCTGATATGCTGATTTGGTGCTCAAGAATCATTTCTTATTATAAGTGGTGAAAACTGATGTGCTGCTTAAAAAAAAACCCATCATGGTTTCCAAAAATATTGTCTTTCAGGATTATTTGATTAGAAAGTTTTCAAATAATTGCATTTATTTGAAATAGAAACCTTTTGTAACATAAATGTCTATACTACCACTTTTGATCAATTGTAATTGCATAATAAAATAATTAATTTCTTTCAACAACAACACAAAACTGATCCCAACCCTTTGAACAGTAGTGCATATGGCTTTAAAGGGACTCAAAAAATGTCTACCTATACCTGTAATTTTCTCTCTTTCATGCTATTGAATGTGCTTTCACCTTGTGTGGAGAGTTATACCATTCATTGTGCTTGTGGTCTTCATGTGATTAAAAAGATGTTTTTGCAGACTATAACAGTCTGACACACAGAGAAACTGTAGCAGGATATTTTAAAGTTGTGTTATGTGGTTTAAGAGTAGACTTTTCTTTAAATAGTCCCATGCTGGGTGAACGGCTGGCCCACTCAGAGAGGGATGACTCTGCCCTCTGGGATGAAACCGCTGCTGCCTTCAGCCGTTCACTGATGAGTGTACACATCCGAAAACCTCACACTTAGGTGCTAGGGAGAGAGGACGGTCTTATTTTTAACTGTTCTGGGTTCAATATAAGTTAAGAATCAACAACTTATAATACCAATTTTGTGATGATTTTTTTGATGAATTAAATTGTGTAAAAAGCCTGCATATGGTATTGCCATCTGTCATTTATAAACCCACATTGGTTCAACCTAAATTTAACCTCTTCCTCTTAAGACTGTAATCCTTTGGTATACAATAAGAATAAAAAACGAATGAATAAATGTGCTGATCTGTAATCCTGTCTTTCTGCTGCAGGAGTATGATGAACTGGTGGAGATGCAGGTTAAGCTAGAGGAGAGACTACAAGAGCTGGAGGCCAACCCACCCAGGTAATCATATAAAACCCATGCATGTAATCAAACACAGTGAGGCCACATACCTGTCTAACCTCCTTAATGAGTCCAAGTAATGTCATCCTGGATCTCTTCCTCAGTGATGTTTATCTGTCTTCGAGAGACCGACAGATTCTTGACTGGCACTTTGCAAACCTGGAGTTTGCCAATGCTACACCTCTGTCCACGCTCTCGCTCAAACACTGGGATCAGGTACTGCACGCCCACCTTTTCTTGCAAAACACCTTTAATGTCTTTATAGTGTTCATGTAGCTCAACTGGTAGAAAATGGTTCTTACAATGGCATGGCCAACGGTTCGATTCCCAGTCAAATGCATATAAATGTAAGAAAACAAATCTTGCTTCTGCAACCTGTCCCTTTTCTTTCTGTGTTTGAGTAGGACGATGATTTCGAGTTCACGGGAAGTCACTTGACTGTGCGAAATGGATACTCATGCGTACCAGTGGCACTGGCAGAGGGTTTGGATATCAAACTCAACACTGCAGTGAGACAGGTCCGATACACATCATCTGGTGAGTAAGTCAGACCAGCTCCTGCTGTGTGTTCCTGTATTTTGGTGTGCTTTTTATTGTGTAAGTTTAAACATAATTTCCTCTCCATCTCAGGTTGTGAGGTGATAGCGGTAAATACCCGCTCCACTACCCAGACGTTTATTTATAAGTGTGATGCCGTGTTGTGTACCCTTCCTTTGGGAGTGATGAAGCAGCAGCCGCCGGCCGTGCAGTTTGTGCCTCCGCTGCCGGAATGGAAGACGGCTGCCATCCAGAGAATGGGCTTTGGGAACCTCAACAAGGTGTGAATAATTCCTTTGCAGGCGGGTAGTCGTTGATGTAATGACAAAATTGGCCTGTGTCAGCATGGGACATTTTATGTATATCCAACTAATACACTTTGGCTAATACAGAGTGAAGCTGGTTAGGTCAAATCATTTTTAATACGATAGATGTGTGTGTGTATTTAATGAGTCCTGAACAAATTTACCCCCACACACATTGAGTGTCCAGGATGCGTCATCATCCTCCTTCACTGCTCTCTCCCTCTCGTTGTTCAGCTGCAGCAGAAAAATACTGCAGTATTATGCAATTGTCCTGCTCCATTTCTCGTTTTTTGTCACAAGGGGGCACAGTGTGTTACCAGATTCATTCACAGTGCTGCTATATCAGAAACAGCTGTCTGTATACACCGCAGGATGTGTGAAATGTTCACTGAAATGCTTTTTCTTTGACTATTGAAAGCAAGCTTCAGCTACTTTTTTAAGATTACATGTGTTTTTTTCTTATCAATTCGTATCATTCTAGTGACAAAAATGATCTCTCAGTAATGGCTTTAGGCTTTTGTGGTATCGTGCACTGTATTGAAAGTGATTTTGCTTCGTAAGCATCTACTAAAACAAAATGTACATGTGCTAAAGAAATTGTATAATGGGGGTTTTGTAGTTTATTAGGGGCTTGTTGTAAGTGGTCTTGAATACATTTGTATTATGTTGATGCAGCATTAGACTGCTAATATTTTATTGGGGTTTAATTGAAGGGATAGTTCACCCAAAAATTTAAATTGTCAATTTACTCACCCTCATGGTGCTTCAAACGTGTATGAACTCAAAAGAAGATATTTTGAAGACTGTTGGTAACCCAAATGTTTTGCTTCCATTGTACTGGCAAAAAAAAACATACTTTTCTCCAAATATCTAATATTCCACAGAGGAAACTAAGGGTGTGCTCACACTTGTAGTTTGGTTATCTTGGCGCTTTTGGTCCAGACCAAAAAATAAAACGATACATTTAGTCCTGGTATGCTTAGCATTTACACTGTCATTAAGACTGACAATATAAAACAAAAAGCGGCTTTTATTAGGTATATTTTGCAACGGAACTTGCAGAACAGTCGAAACAATGCTGCTTTGTGCTGGGCCAAATGCACTCGGTGTATGTGCGTACATGATTGTATTTTTACCAACTGAGAACTTGTTTATAAAATATGTAAAGGACTCAAAACAGCACCAGGAATTCCTCCGTTGGAGACGCAAACGAAGATCCTGCTGCAAGGAGTCAGCTTTTCTGATGCCTGTACCGATTTGTATTAGGCAATGTAGCTCCTATGACGAGAAAGAACAGGAATGCTTGAGAATTATGTCCTATTTAGGGCTGCATCATGTGACGGCACATCCTGTTTTTGGTTCGTTTAGATGTCTTTGGTCTGTGTTGCATTCATATTTCAGTCAGAGTAAAAAGGACAGTATTGTTATTTTTGGGTGAACTATATCTTTACTGTAAAAAGATCAATTCTGACTTAATCTGTGTCGTGCTTGTCCTAGGTGGTGTTGTGTTTTGATAGAGTATTCTGGGACCCCAGTGTTAACCTCTTTGGACATGTGGGAAGTACCACGGCCAGTCGAGGGGAACTGTTTCTCTTCTGGAACCTCTACAAAGGTGATTATCATTCAGTTTAAAGATGCACCAATATTACAATTCTGGTTAAAGGAGAACTCCGGCGCGAAATGAACCTTTGGTCTAATTACACATTGTTACCTAGTCAACCGTTTTCTGAGATTTGTTTTCATGATTATCGAATGTAAATAGTTTATCTCTACAAACAGTTTAGCCTATAAAGCTAGTATAACGCTAGTATATTGGGCATAGTGTAATGACAAATAAAAATCGCTTGTTAATACCACTAACAAGGCTCAAAATAGCCCCACACTAACACGGTAGCATAATGAGGGTCCCTACCTTCAAACCGAAGCATTGAGAACTTTGTCAGTGTCCAGACAGTTTAATAAGAAGATATTTTAAACATACAGTCAACTTCGCATATACAGGCAGAAGCCATCTTTGATACAGTCTTTACCAGTCGATCTACGAACGCCGATCCAAGCCTGCTATTCGCGCTCACCTTATCACAACTTATAGCTCGTTCACATCTCACCAGCGCACTTGGATCGGCGTTCGTAGATCGACTGGTAAAGACTGTATCAAAGATGGCTTCTGACTGTATACGCGAAGTTGACTGTATGTTTAAAATATCTTCTTATTAAACTGTCTGGACACTGACAAAGTTCTCAATGCTTCGGTTTGAAGGTAGGGACCCTCATTATGCTACCGTGTTAGTGTGGGGCTATTTTGAGCCTTGTTAGTGGTATTAACAAGCGATTTTTATTTGTCATTACACTATGCCCAATATACTAGCGTTATACTAGCTTTATAGGCTAAACTGTTTTTAGAGATAAAACTATTTACATTCGATAATCATGAAAACAAATCTCAGATAACGGTTGACTAGGTAACAATGTGTAATTAGACCAAAGGTTCATTTTGCGCCGGAGTTCTCCTTTAATAAGTTGATTATTATTTTTAGGGCTGGGTATCGATTCAGATGTTCAAATTCGATTCGATTTCGATTCACAAGCTCACAGTTCGATTTGATTTCGATTCCTGATTCGATTCTCGATTCGACTATAATGAATATAGATGTAATACAAATCTCAGTCTAAATATCAGTTATCATTTTTTAGACAATTTTTTATTACATTGATCTCACCTAAATGTTTGTTTTTACAATGGGGTAATTTTTTTGTTAAGAGTTTATGCAACACATGAAAGCTTGATTTCATTCTTTGAATTAAATTGAAAAAAGTAGCACAAATAAATACAATAGAATAGGCCTAAAAAGACAAATAAAGAGACATAAAAAGAAAAGTTTTTGGGTAGGTCAGAAATACTACAGAAACTGAATAAAGTAATCCAATGTAAAATAACACTGGATAGTCTTTTAGTCCTGACTAAATTAAATACATAGGCTATTAATTCTGATTCCTTACAATTAATGCTATATTATGTTGTTTTGACAACACAATTAATGCTATATTATGTTTTGACAACAAAATTAATGACAGACACATATGGCTGCGTTCACTTTAAGAACTAGTGCACGGATCCATTACTGTTTCATTATACTGTCTGTCACTAGGGGTGATCGAATTTTTTTTTTTTCGAATCGATCAAATTAAAAAATGGAATCGTCGATACTGCCACGCCCCCATGTCACGTCCGGACGGCGTGCCAAGCGGGAAAAAAAACACGCGTGTTGAAAAGCTGCGAGTATATGGTCAACCTCCTCTAACTTAGCTACAGCCATTCAAAAGATAGCATGGCAACTGCAGCAGATGCAGGAGACCCATCGACAGAACTTAACATCGGCAGCTGTAACAGCGCGCGCGACGCCGCATCCGAAGATGAACGACTTCGAGCCGAATCTGGCCGAGCATGTATGTCTCACCGCACCGGCATCCAGTTTGTGCGTCTTAAATTAGTTTCTTACATTTACAAAATGAGTCTATAGCAAACATAAGCCATTTTAATAAAAATAAAGTTCCATGTTTTATAAAATGTCCATTAAACTTAATTAAATGTTTAGTGAAATAAGAAATATTTAAAAGATCGTTAATTGAGTTTTATAGCCTACATCCTACATACGTTTTTATATCCACATATTTTGTTCTAATGTCAAAATAATAATCTCAGGGTTTACTGGATTTTACACGATTCTTTTTGTAGTGTTATTGGTGGTGATGTACTAAAATAAACATTGTAACGTGTGGACCTTTCTGCTTCTCACATTGATTCCTGATGGTTAAGAGGACAATTACTTTAGTCGCCCCCTGTCGTTTCACAGACTAGCACAACGGCGAGCGCGTCGAGTATAAACGCCTCGTCCGTTTGGAGAGGCGCGCGCGCAGTCAGCGGAGACTCGCGCTCTTGCGGACGCGTCGAGTATAAACAAGGCTGTAATCTCCCGGAATGAGCGAGCGAGCAAGAGCGCGCAATCGCGCATGTGAGACAGAAAAAACTATGCTCCAAACCGTATAGCGCGCGCACAGGAGAGAGCGAGAGAGCGAGAGATCTTGCGCATGTGCCTCATGAAGCGCATTAAGACAGAGAGCATCCTGATTGGCCGGTTTCGGCTTTTAAAAAATAAATGTAAAAATCGAGAATCGAATCGAACCGTGACCTTAGAATCGAAAATGTAATCGAATCGAGGATTTGGAGAATCGTGACACCCCTATCTGTCACATGCGTTATATGCTTATTTAAGACATAACCGACTGTCTTTACGAGGTTACTCACCAAGACCAGAGTTTTGACATCATATTGAGTGTTTTTAACTGTTAAAGCGATATAATCCACGAAAAAGAACTTTTGTTACTGGCGAGCTGTTTGTTGTGAGGCGGATTTAGGCTGCACGCAATGAAAAACATGCACGAGTGCGCGAGCACAGGATAGTTTAAAATTGCTTGGAAAAAGACGTGAAAATGATAAACGTTAGTTACGATGCAATGCTGGCCCGATTGTGCAAGTGAATCATGTCCCGACTCCTAAACACGAGTGTGTATCGACGCCTGCAGCGCTTGACGCTTGCCTTGTGCAGAGTGAGAAGACGCAGCACCGCGAGCCCTGAATATGGAAAAAATCGATTCGTGGCCGTTGAGAATCGATTTTGAATCGACCACATTTAAAAAAACGATTAATCGAAAAATCGATTTTTTTGCCCAGGCCTAATTATTTTGATGTTATGGGCGATAATCAATAAATGACTAATACAAATCTTTACTATTAAATGGGGAATTAAAAAAATCAAAAAGTTTAGATGCAAGAAGTAAATTTAATCATCTCAACATTATTGATATTGTGAACAACATATCTTGAGATCTGCTAAAGACTACATTTAACTATATTATGTAATTATAAGTAAAAATTCAATTACAATGTCATATAAAGCTCACATTAAATCTGACCTTTTTTGTCTTCTCAGCACCCATACTGCTGGCTCTGATGGCAGGAGAGGCTGCAGGCATTATGGAGAATATTAGTGATGATGTCATTGTTGGCCGTTGTCTGGCAATCCTCAAGGGTATCTTTGGAAGCAGTGCAGTACCTCAGGTGAGCTCAGATGCGCTAGAGTAGCTTGCTTCATTTGTAGTTGCATACTGTACAACAAAAGATTGTGTGAGTAACAGCTGAGAGGAAACGTCAACCTAAATCTACTGAAAAGTTCAGTTCTGTCATATCTCGGTACACACTCGAGACTTTGTGGCTCATTCCCGCGGTATGGAGCATCTGGCTCTGCTCCAACGACAACAAACTGACTATGTGTTATGTGTCTGTCGTCATGGTAGCCAAAAGAGACGGTCGTGAGTCGCTGGCGGGCCGACCCCTGGGCTCGTGGGTCCTACTCGTACGTTGCAGCTGGTTCGTCAGGGAACGACTATGATCTAATGGCCCAGCCCATCACACCTGGTCCTGCCATACCTGGAGCCTCACAGGTGAATGTCATAGTTTATTGCTCATTTCCTCTGAGATGCGTGTTCCCTGAAGCAGATTTCATGCTGATTGTGTGCATTTCACAGCCTGTTCCACGTCTGTTCTTCGCGGGTGAACACACGATTAGAAACTACCCTGCTACGGTGCACGGCGCTTTGCTGAGTGGGCTGAGGGAGGCAGGAAGGATCGCTGATCAGTTCCTGGGAGCCATGTACACTATGCCACGCCAAGCAACAGCCAATCCAAACCCACAGCCCTCCCCCAGCATCCAATAAACATCTAAGCCCTGCACATGATGCAGCCAGAGAGAGAAGGAGTTGGGGGTTGTCGGTAAAAGAATGTCTTGGTAGATAAAGAGCGGGAGGGTCAAGTCAGGACACTGGGTGACTCCTTAGACTGAGAATGTGTGTGTGTATTTATGGGAGAGTTTGTCTACGTGTAAGAACATGCCTTTAGGGAAATCATTCACTAATCTGAGAGCTGGAGCCAGGATTTAAAGGAACCTTTCACTCAGTTCCCTCCTGTCATGCCAGCTAACTTCTAGGTCATCTCAAAGGACAGGTGGATGGTTCCCGACGAATTCCCAGGTATGTTGGAATTTACCTGAAATGGTTTGCTCCCTTCTAAGGCACATATAAGGACAAGTATTTAGACTTAATGTTACTCATGTCTCAAAGTATAAGATGTTTCAAGGCAGAGCATTAAAATTTCAGTTGTAAAAAACCGATAGGAGATGGACATTAATGCATTAGTTGAAATCCCAACTGCCTACACAACCCATTCCTTATTTTTTCAGAATAATAAAAAAGAAAAAACAAAAGCAGATATTTTGACTTTACAATGTCCCTCACTTTGTAGCTTGAATGATTTGTTAGGAAAAATTGTCTTAGCTGGAATGCACATTAAATTGCTAATATTATTTGTTTCTGTTAAAATAGAGTATCAGTTATATAGCTTTGTATCTTTTTTGAGCAGTTGAAGTTTTTCTTAAGTTTTATTTGTTTAATTGTGGTCATTGTGATCTTTTTTTATATTTAGTTTTTTTGGTATTAAAAATAAATATGAAATCAGCTTCATGTTCCCTGTTGTCTGTTTCTTTATAGTTCTTTGTGGGTTTTATTCTATTTGCCTTCTCAAAGTTTTTTTAAGGTAACAATTATTTGTCAGGATTTCGCACATTGGTGTCCCATTCAACTTTTAAAATCATGTCTTGAGAACCTCTGTTATTTTTCATTCGTCATTGCTGAGTGCTGCGTCTCTCTCTCTGTGAATGAACCTCTCAAGTTTGCGTTCTTAGGTCTGTTTCACACAATGCGATTTTGCGTTCCACCTTTACTGTCTCGCACACGAGTTATGCCTTAAGTCAAATGAAAGTTAGCATGAAATGGTAATTCTAAATGCATGTTATTGATCTTATTGTGAATGATTAATCTATGCAGGTTTCATTAAAAAAAAATACAATTTCATTTTGTACTTTAATGAATAACTCAATTTTCTAGTGATGTATACTGGATTACTCTAATCATTTAGTGTGCTTAAACCTGGCCCTTTCTTAAATTTGACCAAGTGCACATTCAGATATGCCTCATCCAATCAACAACTGTTCCAAGCATCTAATCCCTGGCCCTCTTTTTCTTTTATATAATCAATTTCTCTTTGACCTACATCACAATACAAAACTACCGTAATGATCTTTTGGTACTTCCATTACACTTGTTAATTTTTTTTTTTTTATATAATATTCAAATTTCAGTCAGCTTAAGCTGTTTAGCCTCTTGTCACATTCTCGTGTTTTCCTCCTCTTTCAGTTTTGTGACCATTTCTTTCTGTTTTTATTCTTCTCTTAGTTTATCCTGTCTCTTCACATGTCATGCTGCCCAGAGGCTTTCTTGGCATCTCTCTCCCTCTCTCTGTTCTTGCTATAACCCCTCCAGGCCTCTGGCTTCAGCCCCAGTTTGTGTGGTGTGGGCCCTGGCAGCTGCACTGCATTGTGGGAATCTGAGGGACCTGAGCTGATATTGGCCCCAGCAGTTTGGTTCGTGATTAGAGCCTTGAGCAGCCTGCACTGAGATGCCACAACCATATTCTTATTCATAATACTGCAGTCGACCAGTGGTTTTGATAATGTGACTACATTTGGTTCGTTGACCACAGAGCCGAATTGCCCTCAAATCATGTGTATTAGATATAATGGTATTTTGTGGATACTTTTATCTTGAGCTGTTAACTGCAGGCAAATTCAAGACCAGTTCCTCAAGATTTATTGACTTTCCTAGATCCACAACGTTAGCGGCTAGCAGGAAATGATGCACGAGCTGCACCGCCTCAGGACGGACTCCACGATCTGATTGCATAATAAAACTGATTTTAGACATTGAACTTGTAACACATTGACGTTTCATAATGTTCTCAAAGACACCTGGATGCCCTCAGGGATCTCTAATCAATATTTCACTGTTGGAGTGATTTCTGATGCACAGGCCTTGCAGTAATGGGTACACGAGCGTGTCAGAACTCAAACCTGACTCATCCTGTTCACAGGCAGATGTTACACTTAATCACCCACACAACAACTTTACAATGTGCTCTTCAACACAAAACCCCCACACACTGAGTACAGAAATGTACTTCACGTGGAATAAAATACTCATATAGGCTATATATACTTATACAATACATCTACACAGAGATAGGCTGTCTAACGTTTTTATTCACCTAGTCAGTTTCATGTTGACGCTTCCCTAAAATGCTTTTTAAAACTCTTCTTCGGTAATGCTGATGAGTGTTCTAGACTGGAAAAAAAAGGCGGGATCAAGATTTACTTCACTGTCTACTCTAGACTTTTCTCACTTATCCAGTTTGTCGAAATTTGAATGTCATTCAAATAACTGTCCAGTTAAGGCAGATAATTCTGTCTCAGAACAGGATTAAAGCTTTAAGAGTCGTTTCAAGGACTTGGATGAACAATAGTGAATTCTGATGCTGACCGAACTCTGAGTGCATTCTGTCATATCTTGATTTGTGGTGTCTTTCTATCTAAATAGTCTTGGTTACCTCTAATGAACTCATTTAAATTTCTCTGTCAATATTAGCCTACTTAACACTACCAGGCCTTGAAACGCAGACCATACATTTACTTTACTATGTTCACGTTCATTTTATTTAGTATAATTAAGTAAAGTTTAAGTGTGTTTTATGTAGCTAGTAGTATACTTGTAAGTGTACTATTTCAATACTACTTGTGACTATATTGGCCCACTTGTATAAAATATACTTTTAAGTATAGTTTAAGTGTAACAGTAAACATTGAGTAGGCAGGCTACACAACTACCCAGGTAGCAAAGAATTCTGGCCCAGATTTGGCATGTGTCTGGCACAGCTGGCATTCATCCGGCACTGGCATACAGCATGTGGGCCAAACATGGCCCGGGTTTGGCAGAGATGGCACTGGATTTAAGACGGCACCCAAGACATGGGCCAGATATCAAATGGAGTATTTGGCCCAGATGTCAAATATAGATATGTGGGCCATATATGTATGGCCGATCTTGAGCCACATTTAAAATCATTTAAAAATATTTTTGAGTAAAATCCCAATGTTTTCCCATACAGAAAAGTAATATATTCACATATATGTGAAACACTGTAAAATATATTTTACAGTGAAAATGTTAACAGGTTATTTAACAATAACATGTTATACATTTAAAAAATATATTTTCAAAATGTATTTCAATATATTTTACAGTGTTTCACATATTTGTGAATATATTACTATTCTGTATGGGAAAACATTGGGATTTTACTCAAAAATATTTTTTAATTTTTTTAAATGTGGCTCAAGATCGGCCATACATATATGGCCCACATATCTATATTTGACATCTGGGCCAAATACTCCATTTGATATCTGGCCCATGTCTTGGGTGCCGTCTTAAATCCAGTGCCATCTCTGCCAAACCCGGGCCATGTTTGGCCCACATGCTGTATGCCAGTGCCGGATGAATGCCAGCTGTGCCAGACACATGCCAAATCTTGGCCAAATTTGTTTGCTGACTGTAGCTTAAGCTGCTCCCAGGTAGCAAAGAATTCTGGGCCAGATTTGACATGAAGCCGGCACAGCATTCAGTCGGCACTGGCATGAGGCATGTGAACCGAACCTAGCCCGGTTATGGGCAGATTGAACCGTTTTTAAGGCGGCAAACAGGATATGGGCCAGTGATTATTTGTCTCACACGTAAAATATAGAAATGTGGCCCACATATGTCTGGCCAGACTTATCCCACAGTTAAAATGTAATTTCAGATATTTTATAATTGATAATATTTTCATAAACACAGCTGTTTCCCCTATTCCTGTTTGCACCATGGGCTTATTGCTCTCTATTAACAAGGTTTAATTAGCCTAATAATAATTTAAAATATGAAACACCATACATTTTAAATTTACAATAGAACTTGAATTGTTTGATTGTCTCATTTCATGCACAAGAAGGCCAATCGTTTCTTTCTTACAACGTCCTAATATGGCAAAAAAAAAATCAGGTTTACCAATCAGGTTGCATCTAGAAAAACGCGCCCAGAAAGCGTGCCTAAACCGCAATGCTTCATGGGTTTGCAGTTTTACCTCATTGTAGTCTTTACACTCAATCTTGTATTTTTGTCTTCTTTATATATATATATATATAATTTTTTTTTATTCAATTGAAACTGTGCAATCTTGTGATTTAGCCGGTTTAGTTAATGGTTTAGAACGCTTCAACCCAAATAAAAAAAAAAAAAAAAGATTTATACTTCCGGATCCAGCGCTGCCGAAGAAGAAGTGATAAACTTCTGAAGAAGTGATAAACTAAAGAAGTGATGGTGCGTTCTATTATAGCCAACGAACCGACTCGGACCTCGGATATGACGTCACGTCCACACTTCAAGCGTTCTATTATGTTTTGGGCGTCCGAGTCGGAGAAAAAAATGGACGCCACCCGTTGTAATGGTAGCACTGGCTGAGTACCAGGCGCTGCAAAATAAGTATGTGCTTCACCTTACAGAACACCGAGGAAGAACTTGAACTTGAAAATATTCACTTTATTTCATGTTTTTCATGTTAATCTTCTGTTAGCAACGCTAGCAACGTAGTAATTGCACTCACAACAACCGATTCCCATACCTACAGGGGACGCAGTAATACGAGTGATTATAATCGTCATTTAAAATACCAAAGCGGTTCAAAAACAATGAAAACAATTCATACTTTCAAGTCACACAGGGCGCAGCCATCTTGAATTCCGAAACGGAATTCTTGCTCGGTGTCCTCACGGTTGTCCGACGTCCGAGAGGAGAAATCCGAGGAAAGGGGGCGTGTTGCTACGCAACGTCTGTCTTCCGATTCGGATCTCCGAGACGGATAAATAATAGAACGCACCATGATAAACACATTTTAGAGTGTTAAGTCCCATTTCATTGGCTAGGCGCCAACCAATAAAACGGCTCCTTCGAACACCCCCGCTCCCGCCCCCCTTCCGCTCTCACCGCCACTGAGTTACAAGTGCACAAATCAGTTTTGCACCTCATATATTGCGAAAAGAGTAGCAAAAGTCAAGGCGCAAAATTTGAACTTGCAGTGACAGATTTGAGAAGTTGCAAGTGCCAATTTGAGGTTGTACTGCGAATTTGAATGTTAGAAGAAGTGCAAATATATTTTACATGTTTGTGACTGTCATTGTATTTCTGTGAATGGCATTTTACACATTTGTGACTGCTTGTCTGCAGCTTCAAATTCAGAATACAGGTTTGTGACTATAGTCTGCGAGTGCAAATCTCAGCGTTCAAGTTCAGATTTTTATTTTACAGGTTTTCACATCGGAGCTGTGAGTGTAAATGTTTGCGTACACGTACGAATATTTATTGTACAAGTTCTCAAATTCACATCTACGTGCTCTCGAGTTTAGCAACTGATTTACCTTCATACTCATTTATCATTCTTGCGTAGAAACAAGCGTAAATGTTGGCGTTAGATTATGCTTACACTCCTCTCACCGCCTGATTTATGAAGCTGTGCGTACCTTTGAAATCCAGGTGTA